ACATGGGAAGGTGGGTCTTCCCCCTCTCTCTGTGGAGTTTTTCCTCCCTCCGCACTCTCACCAGCTTTCCGCTCCTGGTTTGCTGGGCGCGCGCCGCACTTGCCTTTTCAGCCATTTCCAGCTTGTTTATTTACAGTTCAGGGAGGGATTCCCCCTACCCACCTTTCAGTGCTCAGGGTGCTCCACCTCTTTGCCACATGTCTTTATTGTTCTTATTGTTCAGTTTCTCTTTTTTCCCTGGTCGGGTCAGTCTGTCCAGGGCTATGCTGATCTGGCCAGGTTTGCTGTGGAGTACCGCTACTGCTTAGCTCACCTGGTCTGTGTTCCCAAGCCATCTGGGCATGGGGCGTCTGGTCGCCCCGGGGCCTGCTGGTTTCTCTGTTTAACCGTACATAAATTCTAAATCATTTTTATTAAGAATTTTTAAAGTACCTCCTATTTATAGGAGGTAATGCCTTTTGCCTTAAACTATTTTTATATTACCGTTTTTTTTTTTTTTGAATTGGTGATAATTTCTTTGAGATAATTACAGAATCTGCCAGTTTGTTTCAAAATCAGGGAAGCTAAGTGTTTCCAGTGTTAGGTTAATGTATCAGTAAATTCATAATTATTGAGGAACATGAGTTTTTAAATCCCTTACTCAAATTCTTGGAGCTGTTTTCAATCTTGAACTTGATCTGTGAATAGTAGACTTCTTTACTACTGCTCTCCTGTTCTCCCATTCAGTTCAGTGGGTAGCTCTGTCAGCAGTTTCTTATTTACTGTTTCCCTCACTCTTGCTGATGTTTCACACATCCTGTTCCTTGGTCCTTTTATTGAACTCACTGTCAGAAACTGCAGTCTTATATAAATCTAGCTGTCCATCCTAGCTGTTGAACAGTGCTGTAGAATGTGACAGTGGGCATGCTGGAAGCTGTAACATCAGTCATAAGCCTCCTCTCTGCTTCACCACTGTTTGGTAATACTCCTGTGTTCTGCATTCAACTTACACTCGCTACTCTGTGGTAATTGTTTCAAACCTCTCAAAAGCTCCAGATCCTTTTATTTTGTTTTTATAGGATTTGATAACTACACTGGTGCTTAACTTTTTCTGTCATTGGAGACCACTCTTTTCCCTTGTCTGAAAATAACATGTCTTAAAGATGATGGTTATTATACAGATGGTTTTTACTGCAGACAACCAATAAGGCCAGCAGAGCCTCTGATTAACATGTGAGAAAAGTTGTATTAATTACTACATTGAGTAAGTACTACTTGAACTCAAAGCAAATACCTTAGCTTACCTGTCTGTCTGTATAAGAGAAAGTTCAGGCTCAGTCGAAGAGTACATTAGCAAGGACGTGAGTTCCATCCCCAGAACCACACACTCAAGTATAAAGAATGTGTTTTGTCAGGCCTTTGAAATGTTTTAGAGTAGTTCCTCTCCCTGTCTCCTGTAGCAGAGATTTGCTTCATTTTATAGGGAAAATAGAATCAGCAGAGTAGAACTAAACCAAGCTCCCTGCTATCAACTTTGCAAACCTAGGTAACACCTGCCATAACATCCTTCTTCCTGTTACTATGGAAAAGGCCCATTTCTGCTGTGCACTTGTTCCTCTTCCCAGGAACTCTGTGATGTTCTTTATCTGCACAAATAGCTACCCCCTTCTTCTGGTTCCCTCTAATCAATAATTAAACATTACCAAGTTTCCTCCTTTTTAAGTCAAAAACCTTCTACCCTACTGTTCTGTTGGTGCTGCTCTGTCTTCCGTTTTTTGCCACACTTGTTGAATGTTTTATGTGTTTACTCCATCCCCACCTCTTCTCATTTGTCAGTCTTCCACAAAATAACTGCAAGAATCACAGGATCCCTCTGCTCCTCCCATTGCTCTCAAAGCAGCATTTAATGAACTTGGAACGCTCTGGTTTCCTACACACCTGCTAGAACACACATTCATCGCTCACTTTGTACTTTCCTTCCTAGATTTCCAGGCCATCTTCCATACCCTCCTGTATAAGCTGCTGTTCTTCAACTAGACTCTTAGGTGTGGCAGGGCCTGGAGGTTCTATTAAAGCCCTTATTTTTCTGCTGTGGTTTTTTGGCAGTAGTGGGATTTAAACTCAGGGCCTTGAGCCACACCCTCCCTAGCCTATTTTGCCTTAGTTTATTTTTCAGGTAAGGTCTTAAGCTTTTGCCTGGGACCAGCCTTGGACCACATTCCTACTACTTCTACCTCCCACGTAGCTGGAATCATAAGCGTGCACCACCACTCCCAGCCTGGGTTTCTTGAGAGTACCTCAGTTGCAGCATGTTCAAAATTGAAATCCTGCTGTCACAGGAGGATTCCTGTGCTCCCTTTCATATTAAAGAATATCACTGACTACCTGGCTATTCTGGTCAGAAATCTGAGAGACTTTCCTGACTTCTTTCTTTCTTACCTCCATATTTAGCAAATATTCAGGTCTCGCTGCATTTGCTACCGAAATCATTCCTGTATCCACACACTTGTGGTCTTGATTCACAAACCCATTTTCCCTCTATAGCCAGGGAGGTCTTTTAAAAAGCAAACAACAGCAATTTTTTTTTAAATGTGACATTCCTGTAACCCTGAATTCTTTTTTTTTTTTTTTAACCTGGAGATTTTTTTTTTCATTTTTCTTTTATTATTCATATGTGCATACAAGGCTTGGTTCATTTCTCCCCCCTGCCCACCCCTCCCTTACCACCCACTCCACCCCCTCCCGATCCCCCCCTCAATACCCAGCAGAAACTATTTTTGCCCTTATCTAATTTTGTTGTAGAGAGAGTATAAGCAATAATAGGAAGGAACAAGGGGTTTTGCTGGTTGAGATAAGGATAGCTATACAGGGCATTGACTCACATTGATTTCCTGTGCGGTGTTACCTTCTAGGTTAATTCTTTTTGATCTAACCTTTTCTCTAGTTCCTGGTCCCCTTTCCTATTGGCCTCAGTTGCTTTAAGGTATCTGCTTTAGTTTCTCTGCATTAAGGGCAACAAATGCTAGCTAGTTTTTTAGGTGTCTTACCTATCCTCACCCCTCCCTTGTGTGCTCTCGCTTTTTATCATGTGCTCATAGTCCAATCCCTTGTTGTTTTGCCCTTGATCTAATGTCCACATATGAGGGAGAACATACGATTTTGGTCTTCTGGCCAGGCTAACCTCACTCAGAATGATGTTTCCAATTTCCATCCATTTACCAGCGAATGATAACATTTCTTTCTTCTTCATGGCTGCATAAAATTCCATTGTGTATAGATACCACATTTTTCTTAATTCCATTCTCAGTGCTGGGCATCTTGGCTGTTTCCATAACTTGGCTATTGTGAATAGTGCCGCAATAAACATGGATGTGCAGGTGCCTCTGGAGTAACAGTCTTTTGTAACCCTGAATTCTTAATGTAGATTCAATACATTACACCCCATTAAACTCTCAAGCTCCATCTTATATTTCAGTCCCATCCTATGTGTGTCCTCCCCTTCCTTCCTCCCTTCCCCCTCTCCCACACATACTGTGGTCTTGCTACATAGCCCAGTTTGGCCTCAAAGTTTTTTATCCTCCTGTCTCAGCCTCCTGAGGGCTAGGATTACAGGTGTGCACCACCATGCCCTCATTTTTTTTGAGCCACTCTGCCAGCATCAACTCCCATTTTCTTGATCAAACTAACCTCTTTGTCACCTTATGACTTTCCTGTTCTTTACCTGGAACTTTCTCCCTTTACTTTTTTGACTGGCTAATTTTTACACATCTTTCAGACTTTTGGTCAGACATTACTTTTGTTTGACTGTGATAGATCTACTTTTGTTGCATTCCATGACACCTTGCAGGAATAAAGCTAGAATCAGTACTGTGACAATTTTTGATGGTGCCAACCCAGAGTAGAATAATTTTTTCTGGTGATGGAGCTCATTATCTTGATTTTCAGTTCTGCCCCACTGTGTAGAACTCCTTGTCCAAATTGTTCTTCTCGGGTAATAATTCTTTGTACCTGTGTGGACTTCCATATTGTTAGTAACTACAGATAGTTTTTTTGTGTAGTTATGTTTTTATGTATCTGTAATATCATCTACTACTCAAATGAGCTCTCAACTTACTACTATTACTGTCCTTACTAGTATATTTGTTTTATAGATGAGAAAGTAGAAGCTGAGGCATGTCACATAACAGAATGAACAAGGACGTTTATCCTTTAAACACCCAGGAAAGATTTAGGACAGGCGTGTTAACCCCATTTTGCCTGTGAGGAAACTGTCTGTGAAAAGGATGCAGCTTAAGTTTAAGTTTATCTCACATTTCCTTTATGAATGATATAAACTGTGCCTGAATGAATTACTGAGGGGCAAACTGGTAACGATGTGAGCTCATAAAATTCTCCAGTGAGTACTTAATGTATTCTTCATCATGAGTAACAACAACTCTTTGGTTTAAGTATTCTATGCTTGACCAATTCAGAAATCAATCCTTTTTTGAATCACTCAGCTGGAGTGAACCTTTGCAGAAGAAGATAACCCCACCACCAATTTAATCCTAATGTGGTATGTACCCAAATCTTCCTTTCCCAACCTAGTTCTGGAAACCCTAGTTCATCATACTTGGAAATAGACCGTCAAAACCTAATATCAACAAAACAGATTTCGGTACTATAGTGCGTAAAATACATCACTCAGGGTTGTCTAATACATCTGGTAACTTCAAGAGGGGCAGGGATATGTTAGCTCAGTGGTAAAGCCCTTGTCTAGATGCCTTGAGGCCGTGGGTTCAATCCCAGCACCACAAAAAGAAAAAGAAAAAACCCAAGCTTCAAGTGCCAATAGTACTATGACTTAGACTAGGTGATGAAAGTATCTCCCAGCAAACATAATTGTAGAGTTTCTTCAGGAGTATTACAGAAGAAAGGGATGGAACTCAGTAAGTAAAAGGATACAAACGATTAGCTTCATTTTCATTACATTATAAATCAACAAAAAGTTTAAATTAACACTAATGATGGTTTTTCCCTAGATTCATAAAAAACCCCAGGTCAAGCAAACATTTTTACTGGTGAATTATTCCATATTTTTGAAAACAGTAACGTGGCCTTTTAAAAGAACATTTCTGCTGGGCATGGAGGCTCATGCCCGAGTCCTCGCTACTCAGTAAGGTGGGAGATAGGGGAGGGCTGTACTCTGGGGGACAACCGGGAAAAATGTGAGACCCCATTCAGTCAATAGCAGTGCATACCTGTCATCCCAGCTACTAGGACAACAAATCGAAGGTTAGTGGTTCGCAGGCCAAACAGGAGCATAAATGCCAGACCCTATTCAAAAAACACCTCAAGGCGAAAGGCCCAGAGGCATGGCTCACGGGCAACGTGCATTACTCCTGTACCACCAGGAAAAAAAGAAGGGGTCATATTAGTGCACTAGTTAAAAATCTAATATGGAAGCGGTTTTTCATCTAATAAGACTAATATTTTTAAGGAAAAAGCTGTGTTAAAGAATGTGTTTTTTTAAAATTGACAAGTTTTGTAAAATTCTGGAATCATATAATAATAGTCATCAGTAGGCCAGTGATGTTTGTAATTACTGGTATCTTCCTTTGAATAGGTATATTGCACTTTATAGATGGCATAAGTGCATAATTTACTCCTTAAGTAAGCTTCAACTTACTAACATTCTTATTAGGTATATTTGCTTATAAATGGAGGGAAATGGATTTCAGACATGTCACATAATGGGACAAAGAGCACCAAGCCAAAATGAAGTAGAAGGAATTGAAAATTGAAATAGAGTGTTATAATGAAATATGGTAATGTATACTTTTTTTGTGACCTATGACTGTGAACAACGATTGATTTGAGTTTCAAGTTTCCATGGGTGAATTTTTTTTTTTTTAAAGTTTTTTTGGTGTTGCTGTGAAACTTAAGGAATATCTTTATTAACTTAGAGCAGGATAAGGAAATCACTTTTCCTTCTTCCAAGAAAGTAGTATTATTTAGTCACTCGAGCTTTGTTACAGGTTTAGTTTCTGTGCATAGCTCATAGCTGTTATTTTAAGAGGTGTACATTTTCAACTACAGACATAACAGTTTTATAGACTTACTTCGATGTACTTCAGAAAGTGATAGTGTCAGAAATGGCTCCCTCTGTTGGAATAATTTATGAGTTGTAGATGTTGAGCTCTACCTTACCTGAAATCTGATACTATCTTATGGTTGGGACCCAAGTCGAAAAACCAAAAATTCATTTGTGTCCATCACACACCTTTATCCACTTAGCCTGCAGTAACTTTAGATAAAAAATGTTAGTGCACCTGAGTTATAACTATTAACTCATCACATGAGGGTTAGGGCGGTGGAATTTCCCACTTGTGGTTCAAAAATTGTAGATTTTAGCATTTTCAGAATTTTTTATTTTGGCTAGAGATGTTGAACCTATATTCTTATTTTACAGAAGAGGAAACAAGCCTGTAGAGAAAGTAGTTTAAATATAAAGATATTATAGCTAACAAACTTACAGAGCCAAAGATTAGAAGCCCATGCTTTTAGGATTATAGTAATTTTTTTTTTTCTATGGGGCCAGGGTTTGAACTCAAGAGGCTTTTGCACCTGAACAGCAGTATCCCACCACTTAAGCACACCTCCAATATGTAAAATTTTTTAAAGAATATTTTCCTTTTCTTTTTTTGTTTGTGGATTCTAAGGGGGAGATTAGTCCAGGGCCGTGCGTGCATCAGGAAAGCACTGTGCAACTGAGCTGCTACACCCCTAATCCTGAAAAAATTTTTTATTATAATTTCTTGTAAGTGCTACAATTCTTAATGCTAAAATTTCTAGAAATCCTTTGTCCCTCTGTGGGAAATTTTCTTATATAGGAAGAATCTAGCATTATGGGTTCTGGTCTCTGCTTAAATTGTAGATATACAGGCTACCTGATAGCCCTGGCTTGGTCTGTTCTGAATTCTGTCTGTCCACCTTAGTTAGACTTCAATGATCTTGGTCACACATTTTAAGGATTCCCTCCACGTAAAGCAGAAATACTACAGGTTCAGTAGTTTAAAATGAATGACCCTGAAATTGTGTATCCCACTTTTTTTAATCTATAAATAATTCAAGAGAAGAGGTCTTGAGCGTGCATCACATTCAGCGGGAAGAATAATGACGACTGCCTTTGCGCTAACCAGCCACCTAACTCCATTTTCCCATGTACCCAGTCCTCTAAGGCCTCCAGCCAAGGATGTCTAGCCAACTGTTTATGACTTAAGACTTAACTTGTAGCAATCTAAGAAATCAACAGTGGTGCTTCAGTTTTAACTTACAGCCCTTCAATTCTCCATTGGAAGGCTTACTGTCCAGAAGATGGACAAGGCATTTGTGGAAGTTCAGAGTAAAATTGCTATCGCTGAAAAACCATCCTGAGCCCTGTTTTGTTGCACAATAGGGGTGGTGAGTGGTGGTAGGTAGAGAGAAGGGAGTCAGTTAGGCAGGTCCTAAGATTCAAAGTTAGCTTTCAATAAAGATTCTGGTATGCTTCCCTCCCTATACATAACCACCGTCTCCCTACCCAATAATGAGAACTTACTGTTCAGACAGATAACCTCACCTAAAAAAGAACTCTGGAAAGGAAAAACATGAAAATGAAGCCCCCAAAGTTTAAAACTTGCTAGAGGAAAAAAAAATAGACAAAGTCAAAAGGAAAGATTTAAACAAAGAACTAAGTTAATAAAAGAAATGCCAAGGTGAATAATTACTATGTTTAAAACGTTTTAATGGCTGGACAGCATGATATCAGGAACTTTGACACAGTATTTACAGAGGAAACAAGTTTCCGTATTCTGTGTGCGTGTCTTCTGGACTATTCTATAGTGAACGCCAGTGTACTGGAGCAGATGATGCTTCGTTGGTTTCTCTACCGCTCCTCTTCAGAAGACTTATTTTTGTGAAGTTGCTTCGGAAACTGTCGCAGCAAATACAAGCCTACAAATGGGAGTGGTAATGCCTTCTGTTTGTGTTGAATAATCAAATATGTTTTAACAGTGGCCTCATTTTTACAAGTAATTTTGACAAACTATGAAAACTATTTTCTGCTGTATGCAGAAGAAGGCATTTCAGTAGCTAAGTTTTGAATTAAAATTTGTATTCTTGTTTATTGAGCTTATTTTTAAACAAATTTTAAAAGCTATTCTTCATTATAACCTATTTTTTAAAGAAAACTTTCTTGCTATTGACTGTTTTTTCCCTCATTAAGTTTACACTAACATATCCCAAGATAGACGTTTTTAAAAGTCTATTTCAGTTGACACATACTAATACCTTTGTAAACTCTACTATGACTTTTATCATACAGAACTATGCAATTGGTAACTGGTTGTTGAAGAAGCAGCCATATCTTTCATGATATAATCACTGTTTAAGTAATTGGGTTTTGGTAGAATTAAAAATGGTAAGAGCATAATTAATAGATTAGCTGCTAATTAACACTGAATAACCATTTAGCAGATAATGTACAGAAAATAACAAGAGGAAATTATTTGTTTTTTGAAATACCAGTTAAAATTTGTGAATCTTTTCTTCTGGAGAAGAAAAAAATTAGTGCTGTAGAATTTAAGAGACTCCCAAAGATTTGAAGGGTAATAAAGTACTGCCTGGATATTTTTTAAGGTGGTGCAAAAAAAAATGAGTGTGGTCCGTGTCATAATTTATATCATAAATAATGTCTATTTAGTTCCTTTGGTCCTTTCAATGTTTTAAATATCTGTTAGAGTAGTACTATATTTAATATTTGTTTTTCAAATGGCTACTTCAAAACTGTTCTTCCTAATTTGGTTATTTTAAAAAATTGAAAAATGCTTCTAGATTATTTGCCTGTTTGGCAAATTAAAAGTAAACTAACAAATCTAGTCAGTGTAAATGGTATATAATTAACTATGCTGTAACTTTTTTTTGGTAGTGCTAAGAGATGACACCCAGGGCCTTGTATGCAAGGCGTGCACTAGTATCACTGGGCGTATACCCCAGACTCTCAGTAATCGTTAATGTGTCTTAGATTAAGTATTGGAAACTGACGCTCAGAATCATAACGTTCAGTTAAGGTTGTGCATTTTGTAATGGTAAAAGACGAGTAAGCTATCTGGACAAAACTATAAAAGAATGCATAACTTGGATTGACTGATTCTTAAAGTGGCAGTTTTTTCCAGTAGAGGAAAACAGTATTTGAGAGTCCCTGGTGACCATTTAGATGCTCTAAGAACAAGCTTCCTTCATGATTTGAGAAAGAAATTACAGAAGGCATTTCTTCACCAGTCCCTTTGCTTAAAAAATGGTCAGCAGCATGAGTTCAGTGGTTGCTTTTGTTTTATTAACAATATTTATGTCCAGTACACTGAATCTTTCTTTAGAGATAAGATCGTAATATCTACACTGTAAATATTTGTTTTGTTTGCCACTACTGTAAGTCCTGCTTTTACAAAAAGCCTTTTGTTTATTATAAAGCAAAGTAAAAACTGTAGTTTCTTGTATGATTTTTATACTCAATTACTCCTTAATTAAACTGCCAAGAATTAAAGTGCAATATTGTATATTTTTAAGAACAAATTTAAAATAGAATTTTGATGTTTCTTGAATCACAAGAAGTACAGATCTATATAGTATAATAAAATTAGCAAAAGATTAATAATCATCATCTACTGCCTGTCATTATTTGAAATTAAAATTAGTAATGATTACAATAGTCATCACAAAATAATTGATACGTATAAGGGGGAAACCATAAAATTTTAAGAAAAACATTTGGATAGACATAAACTTCTGGGTTATCATAAGCAAACATGTAATAGTCAAGGAACAAAATACTTTCCAAGTGCAATTTTTACATCTCTCCCATAGCATAAGTTTTGCCTAAAGATGCATGCCCTTTGTAATAGCTTGAACTAATTTTGTGTAATTCAAATAACTCAAAGGCTATAATGAAGACCCACTAACTCAATACAATGCGATTTGGGACGTTACAGCTCTGTTTTGTTTTGCTTTGTTTTCCTTTTTTGAGAACAAAGGGTCTCCCCTGTGTAGTCCCAGACTTGCTTCAAACTTACAATGCTCCTTCCTCAGTCTTTTTTTTTTTTTTTTTTTTGCACTACTAAAGTTTTGAACTCAGGGCCTAATTACCTTGAAGCTCCACAGCCCGCTTTTTTGTGATGGTTTTTTTCAAGATAAGGTGTCCCGCGAATATGCTGGCTTCGACTGCAATCCCTCTTGATTCTCTGCATAAACTTACAATGCTCCTTCCTCAGTCTTTTTTTTTTTTTTTTTTTGCACTACTAAAGTTTGAACTCAGGGCCTATACCTTGAGCTCCACCAGCCCTTTTTTGTGATGGTTTTTTCAAGATAGGGTCCCGCGAACTATGCTGGCTTCGAACTGCAATCCTCTTGATCTCTGCATTGTGAGTAGCTAGGATTACAGGTGTGAGTAACTGGTGCCCAGTTCTTCCTCAGTCTCTTGAGTACTGAGATTACAGTACAGCCCTTCCATCTTAGCTGTTTTTTGAAGATTATCTGCCTCTTGTATTTATAGACTTTTTTAACTTACATTGGTTTATATAGATTCTTTCACTCCTAAGGTGAGTAAAGGTTTGTTGTCTGGTGAGGATCTGCCTGTTTTTCATAAATGGAGCCTTCTTGCTTATGGAGTAGAAGGGCTAACCAGCTCTTTCAATTCTCTTTAAGGCACTAATCCTATTCACTTGACAAACATCCCGTCTCTCAATACTACCATTGTGGGGAGTAGGATGCAGCATATGAATTTTGTGGGGACACAAGACATTGAGAGCATAGCAGTTTGACACCCTAAAGTATATATGTGAGTTCTAAGTAGCTTGAAATGATATAATAATTTTCGTGTGTAAAATGAGTTTTAACAGGGGCAAGGTGGCAAGAATGACAGCTTTATCAGGAAGACTCGTATAAAAATAGTGGGGTTCTGTGTCAGTTTTCTTCACTCAACTAATAATAAGAGAAATTGCTCTTTACTTCCCTGATAGCACTCCAATTGGAAATTTATCTCATTTATGTCCTATTTTTGGTGTTTTGCCAATATTGTATAACCCATTTGCCATCTTTTAGACATATTCCTTAGTGGCTAGAAAATTCTCAATTCATTGTTTATGTTATGTTAATCTTTACGTAGGTATACACTATGAGAGAAAAATGTTTGCCTGTCTTAAAATGTAATTTTTGGCTCTTGAGCTACAGGTACTCCCGTTAAGCCATCTTGCTCAGAGCCGGCTTCCTCACCTTCCTTGGGGCGTATACTGTCTTCTATATTGAAAGTGATTTATAGCAGTGAAGTAGCCAAAGGATCCTACAAATGAACAAGTTAAAACTTATTTTTACATACTGTACAGAAAACGATGGGTCACAACATGAATATAAAGGAAATAATTTAAAGTTATATCACTTTCAACCCTGCTTACTGGAAGAAACACCACACTTGTTGATTTTCGATTCCTGCATTTCCAAATTGCAATTGTAAATTTTTGCTTGTAAATTGTTTTTGCAAGGAAATGTTTCTCAGGTTATCATTTCTCCCACTAATATATTTTGAGTAATGCACCTGTTTTGGTGTTCCAATGGTTAATTCACAGATCCAGAAGCCATATATATAGTAAAATTCAAATCTACTCAACATGATCAATTATTTAATTTTTTTTTTTTTTTTCTGTTGTGGTAACCTGGGTTTGAATTCAGGCACACTATAGGCAGGCACTCTTACCACTGACTATTCCCAACCAGCCCTTTTTTGTGATTTTTTTTTCTTTTTTTTTTTGAGAGTCTCGCAAGCTATTTGCCCAGGCTGGCTTCAAACTACCAATCCTCCTGATCTCTGCTTCCACTGGTGCCTGACATCAACTGTGTTTAAGTTTAATATCTGTTTTGGATTTTTTTTATTTCCTTTCCAGACAGGAGTTAGTGTTTTTTTCTAATGACTCACGTGATAATAAAATTGTAAGGAACTGCCAAACGAAGACCAGCCCACGTGTAGAAAAAGAAAGCTTTATTGCGGCACAAGACCAGTGGGCTGCCCCTCTTTGGTGGAGAATGCAGCAGCTTGCTGGAATGGGTAGTGGGCTTATAGGAGGGCCGCACATGAGAGAGGAGAGTGTTCATGGTCTACCAATTATTTGTGATCACCAGGATGGAACAGGGATGACATGCCGTACTAGTTGAGGAAGAACGGGAGTCCTGAGATTTTTGCAAGCAGGGGAAACAAGCAGTGAGAGTTTGCAAGCGGTCATAAATCAGGGGATCTGGTTTTGGTGTTAGCCCGGGACTCTGCCACGCCCCAAAGAAATGCCAGGGACCTAACCAAAATAATCAGAAAATTGACAGCTTAGAGTCGAGGGTGTTCACTTAGTTGGGACAGTACTGAGTTGGTACTTCAGATTGTGTGTGTACACACCCAATATACTTGTTGTTAAATGACACATTGATATTGAACACTTAACACATCTCCCCTAAATTTAAAATGGTTCTCATTAAGTTACCAGAGGAAAATGTTTCTAGATGTATTTTAATCATTTGGAAGTATGTACAGGGAAATGCAGCAACACTTGTGGTGGAAGGACGTCCTCACTCCATTGGGGAAAATCCTCTACCCTAGCATGCAGCTTCCAAAGACACAACTGGACCAATGAAAGACGGGAAACACCACCTAGCCAGCCAGGGGGTTTCAGGGGGGCCAAATCAACCCTGCGATTCAATGGGGTGACATGTCACAGGCCACATTGCCCTCACACCCATATTTTGATCTTTGGCTGGATTGATTTTACCAAAAAATCAAAGATTCTTTGTTTGATTCCTTTTGTATCCCAAAAGTAGCTGTAACCACTCCCAGAGTCCCTTAGATGAGGACACCTTATTCCAAGGCAAAAAAACTTCACTTCCCCCATGTCCGGCAGGAAGCTCACAAGACTTCTTTCCTAAAGACTCATTAGCAGGAAT